TACACCACTGGACCACTCGCCGTCCTCTGTTTTCCATCCTTCGGCCCAATTTGTCTGGGTGCCAGTGTCTGAGGGATTTTTCCCCCCATCTGGACTGGCTTTGTTTAATTTTCCAATTGTTGTTACCCGAGAGGAGTCATCGCCACCGGCGTGAAGTGTCATTAAACTCGTGCCAATGCATTAAGTGCTTATTGTTTGCCCATTGCTGGGCTCAATTGTTCAAGCCTAATTACCGTTCAAACTCTGTCACCGAATGGTCCTCGATGGTGTTGACGCCAGTGTGCTCCTGGCCAGTTGAATGGGCCAGGACTTGGACCTCAGATTCTGCTGATTCAGTCCCAAAGAGCTGCACAATGAAACGAAATATGTTATGGGAAGTACAACATGTTATTACTCACAACAGCTCTGCCTCAAAGAAGATAGTTTTTCAAATAAAAATATTTGATATATTAAATTCAAATAAAAGCCAACACTTTCGCAAAGAGGAACACACAAAAATGAATTTCAGATTCCTGATCCTGCTTGATTTCAGGTCACTTTTCCTTTGTGCTCTCCAACTTCGGAATCGTAGTGCCGGAAATTGCGCTTCACTTTCAGCTGCGAGCGCTGACCTCTTGGACAACACGGCCCAGACAACCCACCCACCCAATGGACCGCCCACCCGACGACCTTTTGCATGTCGGCAGTGCCGGAAGCATCTGCAAGATACTCCTTGCATACATGGGGCGCCGCCTGCTTTAAACTCAGCGGCCTGTGCATCCGGAAATTAAACATTTGGCTCCTAAGTGTGCAGCCATTCTCCGTTTGTTTTCGATTCAATTCACTTGGGAGGAATGCCCAAAAAGGAGAACACTGCCACAGGAGTCACTTTCGGAACTTGCGGGGGATGCACCTTTGCAGAAGGTCTTTCCATTCCGAATTTCCATTTCACTTATGGCCTTTCAAGTGTCCCACACACACGGATTAAATGTGAGGGTGAAGTCAAGTGTAAAATGGACTGCAACACTTAACCTTATTCGATTTGTTCCTGAGCTGAGATACATCTTTAAAAGTACTTTAAATTCGCAGAATACCTACCATATTACTCCGCTGTTTCAAATAAATAAGGATTTTCCTTGGCTTAGCACACTTCTGTGAATTCAGCAGAACGTTTCCAACTTGCAGTTTTAAGGTATATGGAGCTTATCTGGAATTAAAATACTTGATACATCCCATTCGCAGTGAAAGTCGGGATTAAAGGACTTCAGCATCACGCTGAGTTATTCAACATCAATTGAGCAGCAGGCAATGAATATACCCTTGGGTGTGCCTATGATTAGCAATCATATATCCGATTTATATTTAAACTTATTTGATTCACCGACCCGCAGAACAACTCAGAACGAGTATGCCCAGCATACACGGAGCCATAAAATATTTATTTAATAATCCGTTTAATCTGTTTCTTACGGAACTTGGCTAAAAGTAATTTCCTATATACACACCTATGTGCACAAGGTTCACTCTAAGTTTGAGTGCGCACTTTATCAAATTTAGGGTGGGCGCCAGGAAAAGTTGCGGCGTCTCGGAAAATCCTCTGCGGCAGGCTTTTCATCTCGATACGGTGACAGACAATTATAATTGTATTTAATTCTTTTGATTGATGCTTTGTGGCCTCCTCACGAAGACGCGTTTTCCAGGCAGTCACTGACAAACAAGATCGAAAATCGACGCGGCAAGGTGTGCGGATGGCATCCGCTGTCACGGCGAAAATAAATATTATTTATGGCTTTCATTGATAAATATAATTTATTTCCCTAATTTGTGCCTGGGAATTTGCTTTATGCCAACAATCCGGTGTTTTTATAGCGTCCACGTCCTTCCAAAAGAAGTAAGGTGACAACGGTTGAATTATTTAATTAAATGTGTGGCCCATAAATGCGAGTTATTGAATTTGCGGGTGCCACTTTAATCTGCTTATCACATGTACGGATTTAAGGCTTCGAATTGATTATTACTTTAATAATGGGATGCTTAAAGTAGAGTCACTTTCAGCAAATTTCAGCACTGTTCCTAGCAGCATCAAACTAAATTCCAACTGGCGAAAAGTGCGACCACCGTGCACCTTTTGCGTCTCGTCGATGGCGGTTATTTTCTAAGTGCATTAAACACTCAAGAAATGAGTTATGAATCCTGCCTTGGTACGTGGGAAATGTGGGACACAATTCAATTTAATTTTGCAGCTCCCCAGAGCGCGCACTAAAAACATTCGTCACGAGTAAAAACCGCTTCCTTCATGGGTCCACCACTCGGTGATATATAATACATGGACATAGACGTATATTTTTATTGGCAAGGAGGAAGGATTGGCACTTGGCCTGGCCAACGGTGCGAATGGTTTTATTTATGAGTTGAGTGTGCATTCTGATGCTCTGAATACGCTAAGCCAATCAGCTGAAATGGCCTACATAAATCAGAGTCCTTTCTATAAAATGATAAAATATGAAATAGCGGGTCACCCAAGAAAGCACGACCTTCTATGTGCATGATAATATTGTCATCAGCCTTTTTAAAGCTTTGCTTGAATCGAGATAATAAAGTAACAGGGCCAAATGCTTAGCTCCGCAGTTAACAAGTAGGAAAAACAGACTTAGGGTCCTGCAGCAAGGAAAGGCAAATATTCACGCGTCGATGGAAAACACCTATACAGAGTGTGTGAATAGGTGTGAGGATGCAGTCCTCCCCGTGCCACGTACATATACAGGATACTCGGAGCTCCTGGCAAACTTTCACTCTTTGGGATTGGGATTAGGATTCTCCGGAGTGCGATTACCGCTGACTAGTCTGTGCTAACAGTTGCTTTGGGCCTCGGAGCTGGTGGGTTCGGGCCACTGCCACTTGCCATTCAATGGAAAGTGTTGAGTTCGGTAACTAAAACCAGCACGCACTCTGTAATCCCCCCATCGCGGAACAGTGGGCACTGCCTAGCAAGGACAGCCTCGGATCCTTTCAAATAGCATTGGCCTCTCCTGTGCAGGGGAAAGTATTATGTCAAGGTATCGTTTTATTGAAAAATATTGAATGTGCTCATCATTTTTTATCGTTATATTGAAAAATATTAAATGCGCTTTGGAAAACCAACAGGAATTAGATAAAAGATCAGTTCACTCCTTACTCCCACAAGTTTGTGAGAAAACTTGTACCAAAATGTGAACAGACGATTTCACGATTCCATTGCTGATCTCAAATCCCAAAGTGGTCACTAAAGCAAAGTACCATAAAGTCGCTACCAGGATTAAAGTAGAAATAAGTTCTATGTATTTAGTTGTAAATATTAAAAGAGCATCATCCAAAGCTAAAGTCACGTGGTACTTGTCAACAGCTACAATCGATTTGAAAAAGCCCTCTATACTCGTAATCCGTAATAACAGCCCGTAATTCCCAATGAAAAATTCCCTCGGAAATGAGTTCTTTTTCTCGTGAATGTAATTAAGGCATCATCAGCCGTTTTCATCAGTTCGTTGTCCGCCGACAAGGTGAGGGAGCGACTTCGATGGGGCGGGGTAATTAAAATGGCAAAAATAAATACCTATTAAGAACGCTTACACTGATTGACACTTTAAGGCAATTTCCGGCCATAATTCCATGCCACAAAATGGTGCCCAAGAAGGTGTTTACCCCGGCCAAAGGGCCCAGCCGAATGTTAAGCTATCGATTTGTGGCGGCAACCGAGTCGTCGGATTGGGAAGGGCAGTGTATTTAGGCCAGGCCTGCCACGCTTTACATTCATTTCAAAATTTTGGCTGTGTGCGCTTTAAGTTGGCCTCCCTCCACAGAAGCCACTTCAAAATGGGCAACACGTAAGTACCTCAAATTATGACAATGACTTTCTCTTCAATTTAAGGTTGCCTTGCACATTTGTAGTGCTGAAATGTGTGGAACTGATCATGCATCTTACACAGTGCGTATGAGCCACGTTTAAGCGAATGTGGTTGAAAGTCGAGCGAATATGTGCTATTCAGGGCACCCCGTAATACACGGCGTTTGAGTAATTTCCGACCACGTGGAAACCAGTTTTTCCTACTCGACACGTGATTTCAAAGAGGTCAGCTGTGGTGTACCTAGATTTGAAAGCGAAATTAAATGTTCATTTATTTTGTAGTCACTGGCTTGGCAGATACACAGTCATAAGCCATCAATCCTCTCTTCTGGGTGACAGGCTTTTCCGCTGACTGGGCTGAACTCACTGTTGAAGCTGGCGAAGCTGCCACATGTGTCTGATATGTGCTGTATGTGTCTAGTCGGGACATTTGTCGTGGCATCCTTTAATTTGTGCCCCGTCATGTTGCACGGTGTGTGTCTGGGGCAGGACTAAATTTCGCTGGAATAGCACTGGAACATACTGGGTAAATTATTGTAAAATCTGTGCAAAACTTCGCCGCCACTGAAATCCTTTTTTGACATCCTTTAATTGGAAATTTTGTCACAGACCTGAAATTAGTTTTGTATTGCAAGGAATTTAATTAGGCTTCCAAATGACAAAGCTCCGATTTACAAAAATCCAAATACAATTTTGTGGATAAATTGTATTTATTGTTGAATTTACAGCCCAAGTTGACATCCCATTTTCGTACGGTGTAGTTTTAAATTGTACAATATTATAAGCGGTCACACTGTCTATGACCAAAGAGCGCGATCAGCGGCTGAGACTCATATTAATATAGTGCCACCTCGATACAGCAAACCACAGAATAATCCAATTGGCTAATCAGCCAAATTATTACTTCCTAGAATTTAAGACTAACATCGAAACATAATTATTATTTCTATTTTTTTATTATTATTTCTAATAATTATTTCTATTATTATTTCTAATTATGTACAATTTATTGGGAGTGCGTTTTCCATTGATAATCAACATTTAAAGTAAAGGTCGAATATTAGTTTACTTTTCCATATATTCGAGTGCCCACTGTTAAGAGCGAGCGCTCAATTAGATTCTCTATGCTCTTTACATACATATGTACATATTGCGCGATAAGAAAAGTTAAAAACAAAAACAGCTGTAAAGCTCTATCGACAAAAAAAGTGCAAAGCAGGTGAAAATCCAATTTTTGATTAGATTGAGCTGAAACTAGAACATATTAACCGGGAACCAAAACAGTCGACTCTAGCGCTCCTCCAAAATTAAGATTAATAGTTATAATTAAGCAAGTAAATGGCAGATTTCCTGTAGGAATTCCACTGTAATTGTAATTGCATTGCAGGAATTGTAATATTTATTATATTCACTATATACATACTTACATATTTAGAAAAAAAGCAAGATAGCACCACTAGTTTTAACATAAAAACAAACTCATAAATGTAGAGAAAGAAAATACTTTGAGTATTACATTTTTGAGTGACCAATACCAACTAACCAGCTAAGATGAGCCAAGTGAAGTCCGTACTCTGCGTGGGCTGCACGGTAATTGACTTCGTGACCATCAATGGCAGCTATCCCAAGGAGGACACGGATCGGCGTTGCCTGGATGGATTTTGGCAACGTGGCGGAAACGCCTCTAATGTGAGTACTGTTCTGCGGGTTCTTGGATGCAAGGTGGACTTCTTTGGAATGCTCAGCAGGTCGGATGCATTCCGAGTGCTCCTCGACGATCTTTGTAAGCGGGAAATCGGCACGAAGGACTGTCCCTTCACGGAGAGGGATCCGCCCTTCTCCTCGGTGATTCTGGCCCAGGATTCCGGCACCCGCACCATTATCCATTGCAATAAGGACTACCCGCAGACCACATATGAGGACTTCAGCAAGATCAACCTGGCGCAGTATGGATGGGTTCACTTCGAGGCTCGCAACACCCCGCACACCTTAAAGATGATGCAGAGCATCCGGGATTACAACCAAAGAACCGGACAAGGCATCATTATCTCGTTGGACTTCGAAACGAGGTATGAACAGAACCAGGAACTATGTGCGCCCTGCGATTTTGTGGTCTTCTCCAAGGAGCTGGCTGGCCAGTTGGGGTGGAAGACACCGAGGCAGTCGTGTGTGGAGCTGGCCGCCAAAATTCCCGAAAGTGGTCCAAAACCTGTCTTCATTTGTCCCTGGGGCAGCGCCGGAGCTGGAGCCTTGGATGCCAATGGGAACTACTACGAAATGTCTTCCTATAAGCAGGATAAGGTGGTGGACACGCTGGGAGCCGGGGACAGCTTCATGGCGGGATTTATCTACGCCACCCTCGAGGGTCAGCGAAGTCTAGCGGAGTCTGTGGACTTTGCCAACCGAGTCGCCAGTCACAAAATCACTGGATTCGGCTACGAACACATTTCACAGCTCGGCTTAAGCAATTAAATATTGGTTTAACTCTAGCTTAGTTTATGGGCTTGTCTCTTTGAAGGAATTTATTAGGATAAAAGCCTGACAACCAAAAAGTTTATGTTTGAAAATTCTTAGCACTTGTGCATCATTGCAATAAACACGATTGAATATTAAACGCGAAATAGTTAGAAATCCTGTACCCAAAAATGCAGTCGGATTGGAAATGAACAGCGCTTATGTATTCTCACAAATTTTATAAACTTGTCAAAGTCATTATGATTATATTATAATTATTTGCATTATTATTGATTAGGCAAAGAGTTTTTTGTTGGTCTGGGTAGACTTGATGTTATTAAATCCCTTGCTTCGCCAGTAAGGTCCTATCCAAATCGGAAATCAAGGGGAATCATGGCAGGATGAGTCTATAGGTCCTCTGCTCTTTTCAATGGTTATTCAGTTGGGAGCCTCTCGTTGTTGTCTATGTGTATTTAATGAAGTCACCTCGTTGGTCGTCCATATCCGAACCAATGGCTGAGGCGTTGATTCCGATGCCGCTCGAGGCGCTGCCGGATTTTTGCTGGCTGTTTAGTCCCTCAATAAGCTGTTTAGAGAGGAGTTAATCGGTTAATCTTGATTCGGAAAAATCCCATTCAGTGGCTCACCTTTAGGCGCAGGCGCTTCAGTTTGCGCAATCGTTCTAGCCAATTCGACGCGTACGGATGCTTTTTCTGCACACTTTGGTAGACCAGCGACGCGAGCTGTAATTCATCGGAATTAATGAAAGTCATACTTAGTATCACACTATGCTCACGTTGGCGTGCAGCGCCATTTGGCGGGCCAATAGAGGAGCACTGCGATCGGAGACTATTCGGTACTCCGCGTGGCACACGAACTTCGAAATCTCTGATCGCGCCTTCACGTACACCCTGTTCGAGTTGAGGTCCAGTGGCTCCACGATCACGCAGGCGTAGTTGAATTGGCCCTGGAAGAGTGTAGAGAGAAGAAAATAGAGTAAGGACTCAAGCTAATCAAGTATGGATGGGACACAAATGAGCAGTTCAAGCTTCGAACTCCCTAAGCTTGTGTAACCTACGGATATTGTGTTTAGATTGTACTCCTCGCCGCTCTCGTTGTAGATGATCTTCACAAAGTCATTGCCAATGTGGCTCTTCTTTTCGTTGCAGTTGGGATCATCCTGCAGATTGGTGGGCATCAGCGTAGCCACATGGAACGTAACCTACAACGGGACATACATTGGTGATACTCGCTCTGTAAGTCAGTGGGCATAAGCATTCACCTGTAGTATGTCATCCTTCCAGATGTAGGCAAACTTGCCATCTGCGCCGTTTCTGTCCAGCATTATAAATAGGTTGTTCTGCTCAGCTTCCTTCAAACTGACCAGGGTGCCAATATTACGCAGGAACTCCACATACCTGGCACTTCCGTGCGAATTGCGCAATATCTCCACCTCGTTGTTGCACTGCCCTTGGCCGACGTACAGCACGCCGATCTTGTGCGTCTCGAATGGTGGAACCAAATCTATGAGGTTGACAGCGCTGCTGTTTTCGGGACCCACCTTTAGTGGCTCATCCGTTACACCCAGCTGGCCAGTGGTGTACAGTTGCATGAAAATAAAGCTCGGGTTCATGCACAGCTTGGCGTTCATGGGCGGCTTTGCTGCTCCAAAATTGCGGAAACTGTTAGCCGGCGGCGGACGTGTATTTCCGTTGTTTACCTCCCGCACCACGGAAATGGTTTTGGAACGACCTCGCATCATGTCTCCGTTTCCATTGTTGCCGTTGTCGTAATCGGAGGTTATCACTCCGACATTGGTGCCATTGCTACCACTGCTACTGGATTTGGCCAGTGCGCCGGGCTGGGGAACAGAGGTACCTCCAAAGCTGGTCACTCGACCCGTGCCCAACGACGGTGGCTGCCCTGGCGACAGTGGGGGTTTGCCCAGCTTCAGCGTGGACGCTCCTGCTTGGAGGTTACTGCCTCCAGCCACATGACTGCTGACATCGTCCGCCGAGTGCTGCTTGGGAGGTAGGGTGCCGCTTTCCGGTTGCAGGGCCAAAGCTGCGGCCTGCGAGGGTGGTGTGGAGCCGGCTATCTCCTCCGGAATGGCCTCGCAGCTCACACGCATATCCTTGGTGCTGTACTGTACACTCTTTTTCTTCAAGGTCAAGAGCGATTGTGGTTCATCGGCGGTGGCTTTCACGGGCTCCTGGGACAGTGGCGTAGGCTTGTTGGTTAGGAACGACTGCCGCCAGCTGGAACTCATCTCTGGGCTAGAATTAACCCGTCGGACGGGATTTCGTGCACGGCTCTGAGCATCCTCAAAGGCCAGAGAGTCGTCGTCGGCTTCGCCATCACTCACACTTCCACAGAGAGCTGCCTCCTTGCCGCGCTTTCCGGATGCTGGGACCCGAGGTATGGGTATGGCAGCAGCACCTCCAGTGCTGGGAGCATTTCCATTTCCATTACCGTTGCCATTGCCGTTACCATTTCCATTCCCTCCGACCGAGTGAATTTCTTCCTGTCGCTGAAGGGCACGAGCCTTGGCAACCATTCGACTGCGCAGGGCACTCGCCTGAGGAGCGGTTGCTGCATTAACGTCCGGTTCTGCTTCCGGCTCGGGATCAGCCAGCGTATGTGGCGGGACCTGAATGGCATTGTCCGGTCCAAAAACTCCGCCATGGGCAGTGGGCAGAAACAGCGACACCACATTATTGAACGGCAGGTCCTGGCCGAAGCAATCGTTGGTGATGGGGTTCTGAATACGGGTTATCCACGATATGTTGCCCGTTGGCCGACGAACCAGAACCTCCGCCCAGCCAGTGCAGGCGCGCACGCAAACCGGCTGCTGCACCACGGATCCCGACGAAGGACTCATGCTAACGGAGGATTGCGACAAAGAGTTTCCCAGCAGCGAGGTGTTGCTTCCCGTATGGGGTCCTTCGCCCAAGGCACTGCCTAAGGCCTCGGGATTAGACCCGCGACGGGAGAGCGCGTCTAGTGATGCCGTGGAACTGTTAGAGATCTGTCGGTGTGGATGACCGCCGGCGGCTGCTGAGTTCGACGAAGAGGAGGAGGTGAGCTCCGTGCTTCCAGCGGACTCATTGCCGCTGCTGTGCTGCAGGCTCACCTTGGTGTAGCGTCTCTCCCGCTCTGGCGAAAGTGGAGGAGCTGCATCGCTGAGGCTCTTCGAATTTAGATTAATGCTAGGAGCCTTGCCCAGCTGAGCACAACGTTCGCAAAGGCCACTCCGTGTGGGCGCTGAGGGACAGCCGGAGGTAGTGATGGTTACTAGGTTGTTTCCCACCAGCCACGTCTGCGAGACGCCATCCTTCAGCAGGAATTCCGCTGCTGGAAGACTGCAAGGCGAAGGTATCGTCATTACTGTTTTACCATGTTATAATAAAAGAACACCCACCGCTTGGGCATCGACGGACAGGGCGAATAAGTGTGCCGGGCCAAGAAATCAAAGCACGTCTCTGCCAGTTCGGCGTGGAAGTTGCGTAGACCGTTGTTCATTTGCGGCCGCATCTCCAGATCGTTCCAGGCACTGGCATTGTTGCGACTACCGCGCTCCGTCAGGCTGGTGCTCCGTTTACGATTGGATGAATCCTCGTTTAAGGAGTTTAGGTTCACAATGTCGCTGGACAACATCTTGGCATTCGACTGAATCGACTAAGGAAATAAAACCAAATCAATACAAGTAAAAAACTTCAAATTGGCTATACCTACGCTTTTGATGTAGTTAACGCAGTTCCTGCGCAGCTCCAGCTTGCACTTGAGGAACCATCCGGCGATGACGTGGTGGGCCAGGGAAACTGTGTAGTGATCGTAACGATGGGGTTTCGTGTACGGGAGCGTGATGGCAAACACGTACATGTTGTGCATGGACGTAAAGTTTGCGAAGAGATGCTTGGACAGATGTATAAGCACTAAGTAAAGGGGACGAGTATTATAAAGTCAGCACCTCCGAAAAATCGATCCAATCTACTCACACGACAGAAACTCCAGAACCGGAGTGGCCAGCGCATTCGTATCCGACATCTTGCTCATCTGGAGCAGTACGTCAGGCAGCTTTCGCATCAAGGCCTCCGGCATCTCAAGTATTAGGATGGTCATGGTGTTGATGCAGACGCTGGCAATGCCAGTAAGCACCCTCGAGTTGAGGGCCGTAATAATGCCGTAGTGCTGCTGCGGCTGCAGGCTTTCGTGGTAGATAACCAAGGAAGCTATGGCGGGCAGTACGAGGGCGTGAAACTCGTCGGTGGGCCGCTTGAACTTATTGTTGCTAACCAAGTTGATCTTGAGGAGAGCGTTGGCCAGCTCCTCGATGTCGTTGCCCTGCACCAGCGCCTTGTTCTGCAGCACCTTCGGGAGTTCCCTGATGACTAGCTGGAACACCTGATAATCGGTGTCGTGTTCTAGGCACCGCACAATCAGCTTGCAGACTCGTCGAATGGATATCGCTGTGGAGTGTGCTTGGGGCAACAGCGGTGAATCAATTCCCAGGTAGGGACTAAATTTCACCACCTCGTTGCTGCCCTCCGGATAACCGATATGGTAGGAGCCGTTGGCCCGGGCCTTAAGCAACCAGCTGAATATCTAAAAATGAAGAACAAGAAACATTAATTACATGTAGGATTCGCCGCAAAATAATAATTTTTACTAACCTTGTAGCGCACAACACTTATGTGCTCGAAAATCTTAGGTCGGTCGTAGTGCAGTTCCATGTGATCCATTAGAATATTAAATATTTTAAGAGCATGGATCGCTGGCAGGCGATGCAGCTTGATGGCAAACACTTTGACCAAACCGTCGACGGCGGCGATAATATCCGAGATTTCGGATTCGTTGTGGACCAATCTAACGGCCACTTCAGTCAGAGTACCGTCTCCAGATGAGGATCCATGTCGCGTGTGCTCAAACGGTCGGTTGATGAGCGCCTCGAGAATGTCCAGCAGATCCATGCACCGTTTCGTGTCGCAGTGGGTGGCAAAATTGGAAAGAGCCCGGGCCACTGCCACTCGCACCTGCACACTTGGCTCCTGGTGGACCTGCGACAGGTGCGCCAGCACCACGCGGCTTAGGATCTCTTCTTCATAGCAGGCACGGTTCTGGTCCATAATCCGCACCAGAGCCTCGATCGTCTTTATGCGCACGTTAACGTTGGACATGCGGTAGTAGCGGCGGACAAACTGGGCCAGTACCTGGAGCCAATCAGGCCGCGTTGCTGTGACCCGTCGTGATCGGTACTCGATTAGGGCGAGCACGGAAGCCTCCGGCCGTCGGTCGGCTACTCGCTCGATGAGATCGTAGATGCGCTCCACATTGCCCAGGATCTGGGAGCGATCCTGCTGCAACAGCTTCTCGATGCAGTCGATGTTCTCATGGAAATTGATCTGCAGGTGATGCAGGCGATCCTTGTTTATGTTGGCTGCTTCGTAGTACTCGATGTTGCTAACGATCGAGGACATTATCTCGCAGATCAGATCCCAAATGATCTCTGAAAGCTGCCGCTTGGTAATCACCATGCGAACGCTGAGGATGACTTCGAAGGTCACGATGACCTGGCGACTGTCTAGTGCCTGTGGAAAATCAATGATTACTTTTCGCATTTCCGTACGGAAGTTCACGCTTACCCGTAGAAAGGCTGTTAACACATTCGTTGCATAGGTCATAGGTGAAACCTGGAAAATGATGTTCGAACCGAAGATGTTCATGTTGAGATGGAACACAGCCCCACGCAGCAGGTGGGCATCATCGTAAAGACCACGGTCGTTGAGGATGCTGCACATCATCTTCATGGAATGGTATCCCAACTGGGTGCCCAAAAGGTTTTTCATGATCTGTGGAGTTTTAAAAGTGCATGTGATTTAATTTTATATACACATTTTTACATCGAAACAATTAAAGCCAATAGTTAGGCCTAGTAATTAGATTGCACTTGGTTTTTTTAAACGAAACGAGCCACACTTTAAATATCTTTGATATTTTAATCGTTTCAAACACATTTGGCAAGTCTCAAAATTCAGAAGTTACCCAAATGAAAAAGCAAATCGTTAAGGAGTTCGTAACCGTAAAGAAGGTGCTTCACCTTCCGCCGGAGCCACCGCCGCCGCCCCCACCGCCGGCTACTCCAAAGCGCCGTGTTCTGGCTGTGGGCAGCTGCACCCTGGACATGATCACCATCGTGGATCTGCCGCTTACACCAGGCCAGGTGCAGCGCACCACGGAGGGAAGCTGGCGACGCGGCGGCCCCGCTGCCAACATCTGCACAGTGTGGCGGCGATTGGGCCTGGAGTGCGAGTTCCTCGGCGTTCTGAGCAGGGTGAGGGCGTTCGAGAGTCTATTGAATGGATTTCAGTCACAGGGCATCGACATTTCCCATTGCCCGCTGACGAATCACCGTCCTGCGCACCGCAGCATCATTGTCCAACGGAACGTGGATACACGGACCATGCTCGAGTTCGTCAATGCCAACCAGGAGCTAACCTACCAGCAGTTCGTGGGCGCTGTGGATTACCAGAAGTACTCGTGGATACACTTCGAGTGTCGCAATCCCGTTGAGATGCTGCGCATGGTCCTGGCGGTCATCCAGTTTAACGAGCGCTGCCCCGAGTCGAAGATCATCCTCTCCGTGGATCTGGACAACTTGCGGCCGGCCACCATGTTGGTAGCCAGTATGATGGATTATGTCTTCGCTCGGAAGACCATGATGCGTACGTACTCTTTTATGAATGGGCGCGAGGTTGTTTGGGCGATTAGGAACGAAATGCGAACAGCGCGGACTCAATGGGAAAAAAGCCAGCCCAAAAAGATGCCCTACCTACCGCCTGATCCCCCAGAGGAGTATATCAATGGAAATTGCCCTGGACCGCTGAATAATCAACCCGTCGTCATATACAATAACTACATGGAAGGCGCCAGCTGCCTGATGGCCGACGACACCTACTTCAAGGTGGGCTCCCAGATCCCGCCGCAAATTGTGGACGTTGTGGCCGTAAACGACACCTTCTCGGCGTCCGTGATATATGCACTGCATAAGGTCAAGATGCGGCTAAGGGATGCCATCGAGTACGGAACCCGGGCATCGGCTCTGAAGTTGACGGGAAACGGCTTCGATGTACTTCGGTGTATGCCCAAGGATCTGATCGGTTGTTACTATGCTTAATACTTCGGTTATACTGATTGACTTTTGTATAATTGTAAAACCTATGCCTTTAAAATAATTAATATGCCAACAGGGTGAATGTAAGTTTGTTACAAAAAACACCCAAGCGATTCACAAAAAGTTGGAATCTTCCACTAAGGTCTTTTGAAGGGAACTTGGTCAGCGACCCTTTCTTCCATTGTCGGTATCGTAACGGCCTTGAATACAGTTCCTCCACCTGGGGGCCCCAGATTCAATGATTAGTTCTTATTTCGGGAATAGTGTTAATCATCATCGGCCGGAACATGTTGAAAGATAAGAAGCACTGAAGTCAGCGGAGCCCTCAAAAACTGGAGGAAATACCGAGCAGATAAAGACGGAGAAGAATGCTCATTAGTATTAAAAAAATTTCGGAGCAATCTCTGCCAGCAATTGCCAAATAAGCAAATGGGCTGATAAATCTCAATCAAAGCGAGGACATAAAAGGCCATGTCGTTGCCAATCAACGCCGCATTCGACGGAATCCCATCATCAACGCGCACCTGACGAAAATGGAGAGTGAGTGAAATAAGAGTCGCTGGCTTCAGTTTAACCAAAGAGTTTTCGTTCCTTTCAGATAGCTTATTAGTTTTATGGCTGCTTTTGGGCATCACCACAGCATCTGGTAAGGCCGAACTTACAGATGCATCCGCTATCTGCAGAATATCCGATCCCTGGCAAATGCTGCCCCACAAAGACCACTGCCAAAGGTTCTATGTTTGCACTGGCGACGACGACCTGCCCATCCAGGAGTTTAGCTGTCCGGCGGAGTATCATTTTAGCAAGAAGCTGATGATTTGTGTGCCCGGAGTATGCACCGAAGAATCCGCATTTTGTGGACTTGCGAATAGTGTGGAGCGAATCCAAGGCGATTGCTCGCGTTATCGACAATGCCTGGAGCGAGGATCCTTTGCCGTGGCCAAGTGTTCCGTAGGAAACTACTTTGATCCGGCCCGAAGAGCCTGCCTCCCAGTGACCATAAGTGCAGCACATCAGTGCAGCTGTGTGCTGCCGGAGAATGCCACCCTGGCGAATCCAAGCGACTGTGAGACATATTTCCGCTGTCGCTCCGGACAGGCCGAGCTGGTCCAGTGTCCATCAGGAGACTACTTCGAAGAGCGGGTGAACAGCTGTGTGCCGGACCACACGGGAATTTGCCTGGAAAAGCCGACAATGCCGCCGACACTCACAGAGCAAGCTCTTGCTCTGGACGAGTGCATCCGAACGGGTAGCCGCCTGGCACCGCATAGCCGAGATTGCCAGCGTTATTACGTATGCGCCAAAGAGAGGGTGCTGGAAATGCGCTGTGCCAGGGGTCAGTATTTCGATGTTGTACAGCGCTACTGTACTCTTGATCTGGGAAGCGAATGCCAGGCGGAGAATGTGCAGGCGGAGAAACAAGACCTGGGGGCGGAGGATATTGTCCAGGTGGACATCTCAGCGGAAAACAAGGTAAAGATTCAGGCACACAAGCCGGTTCAGAAGTTTTTCGAAAAGGAAGTGGTACTCGATCAGGAATTACAAGAGACGCAGGCCAATGACAAGCTTCCACAGCCCTCAGCCGAGGCAGTCAGCAGCTACGACAAGTTCTCGTCGAAGTTCATTTCCATATAATCGGTTAATTTTAAATAAAGCAATATCAGAAGCTGACAATTAATAAAGGGGACTAAATTATTTTGGTATTTGCTCGCTGTTTAAATGTATTCAAATTCAAATTAATGAATTTCTATTACTTCAATTGATGTTTAAAGGACTTACCTTAAATGAAGACGGGCAGTAGGGAGCATGATTTACAGTCCGGCACAAGGTGGTGATGCACTGCGGCAGCGGTTCGCTTGGGAAGATGGTGTACCCGATGACCATCTCCAGAATTGTGAGGCACTGCAGACCGATTTCGTTTACGGTGACGCTGCAGCTCAGGTCGCAAGCGTTTCTGGAAAAAGAGGGATCGTCAAGCAAAAGTTTTGAGATAAAGAGTGCGTCACTCACTGCACGATGCCCACAAGGATGTCTTTGTCCAGATGCGCCGCATTGAACTTTATCAGGTTGACCAGAATGTCAAGATAGGGGCTGAGCAGATTGGTTTCCGTGATGGCTGGGATCCAGAGCAGCATGAACTTGCCAATCTGTGGGAGGGAGCAAGACCGTTTAGTCATCAATCATTTAAGCCAGATCTAGGACAACCTTCTCCTCGAAGTTTGTAATATCCTTCCCATTGTCGGTGAGGGTGTCGAGCAGCTCAAGGAGGTGACGCAGATCCTCGCGGGCTTCGTGGTTCTGAATGACCAGGAAGAACTTCTCCCGCATGATGGTCAGGTTCTTGTACTGTGTGTGGATGAGCCGCTTATAGAAGCCCAAGGCAATTTGGCGCGTTTCTGCCGGCTTGTTGGGCACGATGAGATCGTTGGTGAGATTAAACAAAATGGTGATGGCGGTCTGCGGGAACGAAATGCGAGAAATAACCAAATTTCATGGCACAAATTCGACGGAAAACGCACCTCGTCCAGATTGAAGTTGTGCAGATGCATGTCGCCCAGCTCCTTCAGCATCCTGCAGCGCTGGGCCACCGGCTGCTCCGGGCGCAGTTCCCTCTCAAACTCCGGCCGCAGCGTCCGCTCGCCCACATAACCTGCGAATCCCGAAATCCCAATTGAGTTCTCTTGCCCACAATGCTGCTCTTTCAGTGGTGTTCTTTGTTACCTGCCGGCAGCGATTTGAGGAACAACTTGAACTTGGACTTGTCCTTGGAGTTCATGGTGGGTCCTTGCAACGGCGGCGATCGGAGGAGCAGTGGCGGTGAGTGTGTGCAACCAGTAATTCCTAGCCTAGCTCCCAATAACAATTTATACACAGCACAGAACAGAGGAAGTCACTAAACAGCTGAGCGCAGTGTTACCAGGCGGCGATGCGGATTTTCCCCCAACGGCGCACGAGCTCCACTGAAAAATACTATAAAATGCACAACTTTTGCGCTCAATTTGAATTTCAATCTCTGTGTTTGCTTTATTTATTTTTAATCAATGTAAATTAATTATGCTTATGATATGTATCAAAAATTGAAGTTATTGCTTTTCATATTACCTCTAAAGTATGTATGTATATATTTATTTATTTGGCTGCTTAATAACTAACTTAATAATATACTCATGGCAATTTTCACTTTTGGTTTTTTATTTATTTACTTATTTTCTGAAATATTTTTTGATTTTTCTCGAAAAATAAGATCAATATTCCGAATATATAAGCAAGGAAACTGATTAATAAAAGTATTACGTTTTTACAACTATCTAAAGTAAGGAATAATTTATAAAAGTATTCAACTATTGCAACTTCAATAATAAAATTCAAATAATAATCCTTTTAATAAGTTAGACAGTTATCCTTTGCATTCGAATACGCTACCAGACACATGCTGTGACTTTTGTTGAAATTAGTACGAATGAGTAAAACGAGCATTTAAAAAACTATTGCGTCTTGTTATTTCTTTCACACAACGTGAACTCTCCCAATTGAGTGACATCAGGCCCCAAAGCTCTTTTGAGATTTGTGTCGGCACTTGGTTGGATGGCGGATCATCCTCGAAAGTGACATCTAGCATACCTATGAGCCAGGCAAGTAAAGCGATCTCCGGCCTGTCTGCCTACGTCATAAATCAGCCAAGAAGTCGACTCGACTTGATGTGGCTATTTGTTGCCATGTCAATTGGGCCCGTTGATTTATAACAAGTTGCTGCCGCTTCTTCTCCAGATTCGTTGTTTGGCTTTAATTGCTTCTGGCCGTTATGATTGTATCGATACAAGGCTAGTCAATTGCACTAGGCAGGCACAGGGTCTCGATTACTTCTATAGGAAGTGTTATTCGCGAGTTTGGCCAGATCGGAAACGATTATCTTGTTCCCGAGCCGATGCAAATGTACATTTATCTCTGGCTCTTTTATGGCATTCCCGGCCATTAAAAGGCCCATCGGCCAATTAGCGTCTATAAACGGGCATATCGGCTGGACCAAAGTCTGAGCTCTTCTATTTATAAATCGAATGCCCGATTTGATGCCAGCCCAGGAGGCCGCAGGGCACGATGACTGGGCTGGTTAGAATCGTGATCGCAATAGCCACGCATGACAGGTGTAATGGCAGCCCCTCTGGACTGGGGCTATTTTTATCGGCCCAACGAAAGTGAACATCACACTTAGCGCTTCGCAGTCGCGGCTTCAACCGGTATAGGTAAGGGTATGTGTCTGTGAGTCTGAGTCGGGGTCTCAGACAGCCGATATACAGATATATATGGCCATATATTTTTCTACTTTTGTTCTGTTTCGCCAGTCCCGCACATGCGATTATTGTGGTTTTGTTTTTAGAGGTATTCCACTATTCCATTTCATTCTATGCGTAGTCACCGACGATCGCTGCCCGCTGCCCGCTGGGACTTCGTATAAAATCAGCATAATCAGAAATTCTAGGCAGCAGTTCGTTCTAAGCCATCGACGGAGCCGGACGCTCATCGCGCCTTTGGCCAGGAATAATTTCCATCGCCCATCCATCGCAAGTAATTGTGCAATTCGTGTGTGAAAATAATAATTGCAAGATTTACGCCAAGGCGAAAAATTTAAATCATTCGAAAATCAGTCTGCTGTCAATTGTTCGTGTCTGATCATATCATAAGAGGTATGATAAGAAGGTATCATACGAGTATTCGATTTCGCGTTGTTCTACATTTTCGCGTTTGCTTCCTAAGTCTTTTGTTTCGCGTGCGGCTGAAAGGAAGCAAATTCGCTTAGCCACACGAAATCGAAAATTAAATCAATCTTTATCACAACTGGATTTGGCACGCTCTCTAGATGGGTTATATAACTCTGCCTCGGCTTCCCCCTTCCGAGACACTTCCGCTTGCAGTCCAGTATAATTTGGATAATTTTGGCCATTTTCGGCAGCTTTGTGAACTGAACGTTTTATTTTTTTTGCTAATTTAATGAACGTCTTAAGAGTTGACTGCATAAAATATGATGTTGACTTAAATCTTCATAAAATCAGTAATAATTAATACAACATGTGGAATATCTTTCAAAGGCAATTAAGCAAAACAGTTACCTCTTGTTTTTAATGTACTTAACATAAAATAAAGTAATTAAGTAATTGTAAGCGGTTTTAAGCCGGTAAAATGCATGAGGCAACGTTTATCCAAATACCTAATACCTAATAATATAGAATCTTTTTTGATAATAGTAAAGGTATTTCATCAAAATACTCTTCTCACCCAACCAAATTGATTAGTCATTTCGCTTTATCTATGGCTCAACCACATATTTTGTACCATAGCAATCAATTAGCATAACGTGGTCAATATTATTAAATGCTGAAATGTTAAAATTAGTCGGCTTCAATCCGACGACGCAAAACAAAAGCCAAAAACAGCAAAGGTGAATAAACTGAAGGGGCCTGAGCGCGGCTTCTGTGTAATTTCTTGGCCAAGTTTGGGGAACTGGTTCAAAGTTTAGCACGTCATCAACGAAACCGAGAGTGCGCGGTGTGGAGTAGGGCTTGCTTTTACAGATCTGGTCAAGACTTACACGGCTTATTGCTTATCTTTCGCCTCAGCTGTCTGTCGAGATGTCATCGTGTCGCTTAATTTGCTTTGGCCTGCTCTTCCTGATCGCTTTCGGCCACGTGACGTCACAACGTACGTCACTGGACGTCGCTCTGAAGAACGTCTACAGACCGCTGCGTCTTCTGGGCCTGGCCTTTGCCGGCCGATCTGGGGACGATCCACAAAACGTGCAGCGCGTGCAAATCGCGGGGGTAAGTCCACCAGAGAATAATGCATCATTGATCCGGGATTCGGAGTTTCAATCGAAATGCGGTCAGTATACTGTTATTCGATTTTAATTGGCCGACGCCACCCTAGATGGAAAATGCCACAAAATGGACCGCCAAATGGGTGTGCTTAAAAAATATAAGAAATATCAAATCAATCAAAGGTGCAAGTTAATTTGTGAATAATTTAGGATTCACATTTCTTATCGATTGAGACTTAACAGACTTACAAGATCGGTTTGAAACTTCTCCACTTTTTTAGCAATTAGGAACATAAGTACTGAAAAATATAAGTTTGTGCTTCCCATTTCGATCCTCGACAGAAAACACAAAAGTCAAACCCCCGAACCCGAGCACTACTGGAGTTCTGCGATGCGGACCATGGACCCGGAAGAAGGAGCGCGGAGCGACCCACCAGTGTGCATCGCCTGCGACCCGGAGACATCGATGTGATTGCAGCCATGGGCGACTCCCTGACCGCCGGAAACGGCATCTTCGCCACGAATTTACTGCATGTGACCGTGGAGAACCGGGGCGTGGTGTGGTCCATTGGAGGGCAGTACGACTGGCGAAAGTACCTCACGCTGCCAAACATCCTGAAGGAGTTCAACCCCAACCTGTACGGCTATGCGACCAAGGACGGCATCTCCACGGACCGCTCCTCGCGCTTCGATGTCGCCGAACTGGCCGCCATGTCCAGGGATATGCCGTACATGGCCAAGGTCCTGGTGCGCCGCATGCAACGCGATCCGAGGGTCAACATGACCTCCGACTGGAAGCTGATCACCCTCTTCATCGGCAACAATGACTTCTGCGCGGACATTTGCTACTATCCGGAACCGGAGAAGACCGTCGACTGGCACGAGCGGAACATGCTGAAGACCTATCGCTACCTCAGGGACAATGTGCCCCGCCTCATGCTGAACATAGTACCCGCGCCCAATCTCCGGTTCCTGACCAGCCTCACGGGGCTGCCCCCCTCCTGCTACAGTACCCTGCGCTTCGAGTGTCCCTGTCTGATGAACAAGGGCAAGGGTCAGCTGGACTATCTGGAGGGCATCATGAAGCGCTGGATAGCCAAGGACTTCGAGATTGCCGAGCGGGAGGAGTTCAACACCGAGGTGAGCTTTGCTCCTGGAATGATTGTTGCACATGCATAGCAATTTGGAAACTTTTTAGTACAAATTTAAATTTAAGCGCTATGCGTGATTATGTGGAAAGTACATTTTTGGTTTAAAAGCTCACTTATCTAAAGGTATTGGTTCTACCAATTTTTTTTCAGACATTTACGATAAATGTGCAGCCCTTCTCGCAGTTCCAGGACTTTCCGCGCACACGCTCTGGGAATACGGATACACGGTTCTTCTCGGAGGACTGCTTCCATCTCAGCCAGCGCGGACACGCCTCGGCGGCCAACTCCATATGGAACAATATGCTGGAGCTGCCCGGCCAGAAGAGTGGCTTCGCCACCCATCTGTTCGAGACCTTCCGCTGTCCCAGCGAGAAGCGCCCGTTCCTGATCACCCGGGAGAACAGTCGTCCGGAGTTTGTGATCTAAGCGGAGAAGTGGGCCCGTTCTCCTCCGTGAATTACTCCCTGTGATATCGCACCTAAGTCTGCTTTGCAAGCTTGCCCGTATATTTGTAGTTCTAATTAGCCGTATGCCAAGTGTAAATACAAAACTTCGACGTGAATCAGAAAGTCAAATAAAATGATATTCTTGAACTACGTGAGTGAATTTTGCAAGGCGAATTTCCATATTACTAGCATAAACGGTGGGCACGTGGATTTCTGTTGGCAGAGTATGGAAAACTTCTGTGGAAGCTAGCATCGAGTACCAGTGATCCATAATAATGAGACCATACGTCGTTTCATTACTTATTTGCATGCGCAGCAAAGCAAAACATAATAGCAGCTGGTATTGGAGGTAATTTTATAAAAGCGTGAGAAACAAAGCTGACAACGATATTGTATCTTAGGTCCTAAGAGTACTTTGAGTATACCCGTTTCAATCGAATAACTTTTCTCGCCTTTAAGTATTTAAAAGATTAGTTCATTTCGGTGATCGAAAGAAGTTAAGTGTATCCAGCTGCATCCCAATTTAGTAATACCCCCTCAATAATGCCACGAACCTAATGAGTCCGTGAAAACCAGGCCCAAATAATAGCACCGTTCATGATGTGTGGCCTGTTAATATAATCGCGCTGACAAATTGCTTCTTTCGAGCTGCGAACGGAGGGAATTGCTCACCTCTACGATGGATATTAAAGAAAATGAATGGCCCATTAAGTGCCGGCCATAAGGCAGTCGTATATATTTATTAAAACATCTCCCGTCTCGTTATAAAGTCGCAAATCATCCCGTGATAAGCGATAACCTGTGGGGCTGCGGATGACACACGAGAAGCCAACCGGCGATGGGCGCGTCATAAAACCTGTTACAATTTAAATTTTTTAACTTACTTTTCCAGCCAGCGCGGCGCACGCCCCACCGAACAAAAATAAAGCCAGATCATAATTGACGTTTAATTCGGTGGCTGGGCATAAAAGGCAAATTGCCCGCCGTTGTACGTGTTTTCGAGTGGGCTAATGATCCCGCCCCGCGCCATTATTCCGCCTCCAACGGTTTCGCCGTCTGGTGCTAAACAGCAAGGTAACAACAAAGATTGAGTAAACAATATTCGACTATTAGCGTATTATTTCGAGAGCCAGCTTGTTGCTGCTTGCAGCATTTCAAAGCCCGCGCATCGCCATTGACTTTGAACTTGAGCCGCATTCCCTCATATCGGTCAGCACATTTTCGGGCTCCGATTTGGTCTTGTATACTCCATATGCGGCTATATAGTCGGACATGGTCAACAAGTGTGTCGAGATATGCGAAGTCAATCATTTAATCATTTTGCACAACAAAGTTTTGCCAAAGTTGGTTGTCATTGTAATATACGTATACTTAATACTAATATGCATGTGCTCTCAAAACAACTCAAATATTGTACAAAACTATAACTGATAAATAAGGGTTTTCAACAAATGTGTAAGTAAATTCCAAAAAATGTCTATATTACACAAGTATTTTTAAAACGTAAGTCTCTAAAATATATAACTCACATGCGAATTATTAAACGGCAGTCCATGTAGAATCTACACAAAGTACCCTTTAAATGAAGGAAAACCGCTACGCCAATGCAGTTTTCATTGCCTGGATAGTTATACCCGTTACTCGTAGAGTAAAAGGGTATAATAGATTCGTTAAAAAGTATGTAACAGGCAGAAGAAAGCGTTTTTGAACGCTTTTGCCACGCTCAGTTTTGAAAATAATTGTGATGTTTTTTTCATTATTTATATATCTTGTAAATTTCTGTAAGTACCAAACAGTTTTTTGACACACCACTTTTAAAAAATGTTTAAGTTTCCATTTCATTATTTTTTCCCAATTTCTACCGATATCCAGAAAATGTGGAAATTTCTGGGTCGCACTGCCACTAGCTGAGTAACGGGTATCTGATAGTCGGATAACTCGACTGTAGCATCCTATATATATTGTATATTTAGTACGGGGCCTGATAAACCACTTCATAAGAGCTCACACCAAACGATCTTTGGGATAGGAATCCCTGGAATGGAAAGCGGACCCTGTTTACCAATCCAAGTATCAATCAATAAGTAATTATTAGCTTTCGCCACAGACGAAAATAGGGAAGGTATCAAAGTAGAAATACCTGTTTTGCCGATATTGTACTGTCAATAAATTAAAACTCTCTAAAAATCGTGTAGTTATCGTGTAATACGAATGGTGAAAAAATAATAATTGTTATGCCCCTGGAAACGAATATCTCATTTGCGGGGAGTGGAAGTGGATACATAAACACTCGACCTATATTTGCAAGATAATATGCTGATATTTTTCAAGATCAACATAAGAGACTGACTTTGAACTTCTTGCAGTTCAAATGGTGCATAAGATAACAACATTTCATTTGACATTAGTGCATAAAATATATTCTTTATTGGAAACAACATATTTTTTAGTTTGCTAAGGTCTTTGGCATCATATAGTTAAAGACAAAACGACGGGGCTCAGGTATTTTGGTAATGAAGCGAATGACCATAGCAGGGAAATCAGAAAAGCGTTGATGAAGAGTTCTTGAGTTTTTCTGCTTACCTCGCACTCTGAGTAATATATATTTCGATGCACTCTGGCCCGAGTTGCACATTTGCGGAAATTTCGAGCCATGGGAGACGACAGCCAACGATTCCAGTTCCAACTGCAGGCAGTGGCCACAGTTTTCTTGTTGGGTAAGGTCCAGTTGCACCCCCAGCGAATGAGCTATTTAATAATAATGAAAATTATTACCCTTTGGTAACAGTTTCACAGCTCTGCTTTGCCCTGCCCTATGCATCTTCCTCGGGAAACGATATAGAAAGCGAAGCGAACCCCCAAAATTCTGGCAGTGGACGACCCGTGGATTACCACACGGTGGTGGGCCACTTCAAGGACTTCTTCATGTACCTGCCTGTGATGATGACCACGCTGAAGGAAACGATGTCAGGATTCCCCAAGTTCGCCGAGGGCATGCGCATCCTGACTTCCGGCAGAGGACGAGTGGACGGCGAGGACTGCAAGTGCAGCCAAAATGGATTGGGCAGCGGGGAACTCTTGGACGCCAGTTCCCGGTTTGGCTGACATAGTCTGATGGCTCCAATTGCTCACGATCGCACACGTCAAATAAAGAAAAGAGAATCACATAAGAAACAAACTCGAATATCGCATTTTACAGCAGTTCACAGAATGAAAAGAACAATTCCAAACAAAAATCGGCAGGGTAATTCGATACCAAGTCTGGATTTCTGATAATGTAGGTAAAGTTTTCAGCTTATTTCCGAAACCCAAAGCTATAAATTAGAATTTCTAGTCATTAAGCTAATTGCTGGTCATATTTGCTTGCCTCTGGCTTACAGGCTTAGTTACTTAGCAGGAAAATCGATTCTGGAACTTAATTGGGGAACTCAAGTATCCCGAAAAGCGTACATGCTCTTGAAAGGTGAAATTAGTTCGGCAATGACGACGCAATCCAGACATAACCCACTTTCGCTGGACTTGAACTAGATACACAATCGTATATTGATATATATTTACATTTATTTTCTTCAGCTGCTGGCCAGCTTATTAGCCAAACCCCTGGGAATGGTCACCACCTGCCCGGCATGGAGTCCAATCAAAGCCTCGAATCTGCATGCCACCAACCGGGAATGGGGTGCAAGTTGTGACCCCCAATGGAGCCGCACGTTCCATGACCCACTGTCATGTTTGCACTTGTCATTATTGTTAATTGTATTTGCGGGGTGGCCAAGCATACAGGGACCATATTTACAAAGCAATCCGAGTGGCCGAGGCGGCACAAATGTAATTCAAAGTTACCACTTTCCGTTTCAGTGAGACACGCGGCGTTGTGGGGAGCGCAACAGCGGAATGCTGTCCAGGAAGCGCAAAAAGCCGAATTATTAGTGTAGCAAATCCTATCGCGCATACGAAGTACAGTAGCCATTCGATTCGATGGCCACTGGCATCGAGCTGCTTGTGGCCGCCGCCCTCTGCGCCGCCTGTCCGCCGCTGAACGAGCAACTGCCGACGAACCTGCTCCAGCTGGGCCAGAACGATAGCCTGTACCCGGCCACCGAAGGGCCCATCGATGTGGAGGCCACGGATGCCGAACCCGTTGCGCATCCCCCCGAGGATTCGCTGGCGAACATTATTAGCAAGAATCCGAAGCTGCGCGCGATGCACGATTGGATTGGGGGCAAGCACCTGCGCATCGCCACCCTGGAGGACTTTCCGCTCAGCTACACCCAGCTCCTGGAGAACGGCACCCGCATCGGCCTTGGGGTCTCCTTTCAGATCATTAACTTCCTCAAGAAGAAGTTCAACTTCACCTACGAGGTGGTCGTGCCCCAGGACAACATCATCGGCTCGCCAAGTGACTATGATCGCAGCCTCATTGAGATGGTGAACAGCAGTGTGAGTGTCAGGCGGAGATTGGACTGGGAACTCTATAGTTTATGTCCCTGACATTCCCATTTCGATCCCCACAGACGGTGGACCTGGCGGCGGCCTTCATACCCTCGCTCGCTGACCAGCGCAGCTCCGTCTTCTACTCCACCACGTCGCTGGACGAGGGCGAGTGGATAATGGTGATGCAGCGGCCGCGGGAATCGGCCAGTGGCTCCGGACTGCTTGCGCCCTTCGAGTTCTGGGTGTGGATCCTGATCCTCGTCTCCCTGCTGGCCGTCGGGCCGATCATCTACATGCTGATCATCCTGCGCAACCGGCTGACCGGCGACGGCCAGCAGACGCCCTACTCCCTGGGCCACTGCGCCTGGTTCGTCTACGGGGCGCTGATGAAGCAGGGCAGCACCCTGTCGCCCATCGCAGGTGGGTCGCAATTAGGTTAAAGTGCAATCGAGCGGTTAAGATAGCCATCGGCGGGCGCTAATGGCCCACTGATTGCATGCCAAGCGGACCGGGCAGTTTGTCATTCAGTTTGTCGTTTCATTAAGCTCATTGGAACCATTGCAGACTCGACGCGGCTGCTCTTTGCCACCTGGTGGATTTTCATCACGATACTGACGTCCTTCTACACGGCCAACCTGACCGCCTTCCTGACCCTCTCCAAGTTCACGCTGCCGTACAACACGGTCAACGATATCCTCACCAAGAACAAGCACTTTGTGTCCATGCGGGGCGGTGGAGTGGAGTACGCCATTCGAACGGTGAGCGGGATCCCCAGGGATGCCTAGAAGTTGAAAGACCTAGGAGGACCCTGAAAGTATTGATTACACAATTTTAAACCTAGAATTCATATACCCAACTTTCCTAGCTTTTTCTATTTGACTATGCGTGCATAAATTGAAATACTTATCCGCTCCTTGCCACTTCAGACCAATGAATCCCTGTCCATGCTGAACCGAATGATCCAGAACAATTACGCCGTGTTCTCGGACGAGACCAACGACACCTACAACCTGCAGAACTACGTGGAAAAGAATGGCTACGTGTTTGTGAGGGATCGGCCTGCGATTCAAGTAATGCTGTACAGAGACTACTTGTACCGCAAAACAGTCAGCTTCAGTGACGAGAAGGTCCACTGTCCGTTTGCCATGGCCAAGGAGCCGTTCCTGAAGAAGATAAGGACCTTCGCCTATCCAATCGGCTCGAACTTGAGCCTGTTGTTTGACCCGGAGTGGGTGAGCTGACGCCTTGGCCACACGGATAATTCGATTTCGCACTTTGCAGGCTGCTCAAACTTGTGGAGTCGGGAATCGTGAAGCACCTATCAAGCTCGGAACTGCCCAGTGCCGAGATCTGTCCACAGGACCTCGGCGGAACGGAGCGGCAGCTGAGGAACGGCGACCTGATGATGACCTACTACATTATGCTGGCCGGCTTCGCGACCGCACTGGTCGTCTTCACCACGGAACTGCTGTTCCGCTATGTGAATAGTCGCCAGGAGGCGAATAAGTGGGCGCGCCATGGAGTCGGACGGACGCCCAATGGCCAGTCGGTGGCGCCATCCCGCTGGCTCCGTGGCTGGCGGCGATTGAACAGCGGACACGGGCAGCTCCTGGGCGCCTCCACCCACGGCCAAAATGTCACTCCTCCGCCACCCTACCAGAGCATCTTCAACGGCGGAAGTCACGGGGATCCCCTGAATCGATGGCGCCGTCCCCTCGCACACGGAAATGCGATTGGCAATGGTGTCCTGCTGGGAGGCGATTCCGAGGGCGGTGTGCGGCGCCTGATCAACGGACGCGACTACATGGTGTTCCGCAATCCAAATGGTCAGAGCCAACTGGTCCCGGTCAGATCGCCCTCGGCGGCTCTCTTTCAGTACAGCTACACCGAGTAGATATTACACAAGGACAGTGATGGGAAGCTATCGGAATTTATAGGGACGATTTGGATAGTTTCAGAGTTTTCGATACTCTGTTTCGACGTGAGATTGTACTCGTATATGTAATCTCACTCCTTATATTATGTGCAACTACACCTGTGACCACAGCACTCGAGACGTAGACATCCAAAGGGAAAGCGTTTAAATAAAGTGCACTTATAAACTACATTTCATTACTTTCAATTGGGTCGCTTAAATAGCTGCTTATGGGGAATACTCAAATCCATTCACACAAAGAGCAACGCTAATAATAAGTTTCATCTCGAACAACGTACATTTTTACAGAATTGCCTGTGAATTTATCGTTACGTGTTTATATAATTATAATTTCCAGTCATTTCAATTGCGATGATATTATGGCTTTCACGTGCTAAAATAATTAAACTTTATAATTACGTGCTTAAGAAATTTTGTATGGGCCCCTAACTAAGTTTTAACAATATTCTTTGGAGTTCCTCAATGCTAACAAAGCCCAAATGTTTCTAGGGACTTGTTACCATTTTGCAGAATTAAAGTGTAAGTGCCTCAGAAGGATCGAAGGATCTTACCACTGGTACTTATTGGCTGAATTGACAGGGTACGTCAGTGCGGTAAAAATGACATCGTGATTTCGCAGAGCATCCCTAGTCTTTCTCAAACTTTTGCTCAACGACCACAACTGATATTCTGATTCTGTGTCTTGGATTGAAAGGCCGCCAAGGACTTCTACTTAAGGTCTCATCTCCCTAGTGGTTGGTTCCAGTTCAACAAGATGATGCTGTAGGTCATAAAGATACTCAAGATACTCTTAGAGTAAAGGGCATACTTATTAACTATATACTAATGCCCACAAACCACAAGAATTTGATGATTTTTATCTGTTTTATTATATGTCTTCCAAATTTCTATTGTGGGCATGGATCACCAAACGTCTATGGGTCTGGAATCTGCATGCTTAATCTCAACTTTCCAGCTTTTACAGTTGCTGAGATCTCGACGTTCATACGGACGGACAGGCGGACGGACAGACGGACATGGCCAGATAGACTCGGCTATTGATGCTGATCAAGAATATATATACTTTATATAATCAGAATCGCTTCCGTCTACCTGTTACATTCTGTTCAACGAATCTAGTATGCCCTTTTACTCTACCAGTAATGGGTATAACAAATTGAGGCGAGCAACTGAGAGATCTAGCCATCTAAGCGGAAGAATACAGAATGGCGCAGCAAAACGATCAATTTCATAACTCCACTTCCTTTATAACTGCTCCATATAGTAAACTATTTATAAATGTTAAAACTGCAGTGCTACTATATCATCTCAGGTTCATTTACCAATTTTTTATGCCGATCAAGTAGAAGATTTAACTTAAGACCAACTAACTTTTGAAATGGACAAATAATTTGGCCTTGAAGTAATGGTGCGTATTTATTTTACAAGCATTTAAACTTGTTAAAGGTCTTTTTTTATTCTTGTATAACCAGTTTTAACAGTCAGGATTTTAAATCCCAATGCAGATCGTTTGTATCGTTATCTTTTTTTGCAGTGTGGTCTAGTCCAGCGTGGAATGTGGGCTGAAGGCATAGGTAGATGATTGCACGTCGAGGCTGCTGTTGGAGGAGCAGGAGCTCATGGATGGCGCCCGGGTGGATCGGGCCGAGGAGGCGGAGGACGATCCGCTGGAGGAGGAGGAGGAACTGACCCAGGCGTGACCACTGCGCCTCCGCCGCTGGCGCACCAGGCCCAAAACCGATCCGGCCACTGGAGTGGACGCGGAGCTAGCCGACACCTGACGCCGGATGGCTGCATTCAGGGAGATATGCACGGGTTCCGGAGCAGGCGCCGTGTTCGGCCGTTGGACAGTCGTCTCCGAGCCAGACTCCATATCACTTGAGGCCGGGGATGCAGCCTCTGCCGTCGCCACTGGAGCTGGCTCAGCGTTGAACACCCGTCCATCCAACAGTTGCAGCGTGGGCACACTGCGCGCCAGGAGCGAGCGGTACAGCGGCAAACGGCACACGGGATTGCCCTGCAACTCCACCTCCTGCAGATTCGGGCACATGCCGAGGAAGGAGAGCAGGCCCAGCTCACTGATTCGGTTGTTCCGTGCCTTCAGAACACGGAGATGGATGAGTTCGGCCAGAGGATCCACCCGTTGGATCATGTTTCCGTCGGCGATGAGCACCCGGATGGCAGGCAGTCCACTGGTGCCGTCGAAGCTGTTCAGGCCGCAGTTGCTGATGTCCAGCTGGGTGAGCTGGAGCAGTCCGTAGCCCAGGTCGCGCAGGGAGCTCAGCACACTGCCACTCAGGTCGAGGGCCTGGAGGCGCGGCAGGAAGAGCGACAGGCGGGACAGGCTGACTGTGTAAGAGATCACGCGTAGACGCACTGACTCCACCGCCTCCAGGTCCGTGCGTTGCGTCACTCGCCGCTAATCGAACATGACGGGAAGACCACTTCATTACTTTAAATTCTCATGGTAGACATGCAAGGTGACCCACCAGTAGCTCGTCCAGTGTCGGTTCCGGGCCCTGTTGCGGCAGCACCACGGGCAGCAGATGGACGAAGGCCGGAAGGTGCTGTTCCTCCTCGGCGATGGGCAGATCCCGGTCGAAGGAGTTGCGGCGGGCCAGTTGGCGCCGGTCGAGCTGCATCCGCTGCTGCTGCTGGGCGGGATTCTGCTGATTGGGCCGCAAATCCGGCGGATGCATCCGGACCTGGGCCAAGGCGGCCGGACCCGGCGGAGCCAGAAGGATGGGCAGCTCCGCCTGGAGCGAGTGCTCCGGAGAGGACTCCAGGTAGTCCGTAGGTGCCTCCAGCAGCGGCATTATAAATATTACTCAGAGCAGTATCTTCTTTCTGTAACCCGCTGTATTTTGACTGGCTTTATTGACCTAACAACGCAAGCGTATCCACTGGCAACGCTTTTCGTGGTGTTGGGTCTGCCCATAACATGTCAAGCAATTTCCCTTACTCGTTAGTTATCTAGTTCATATTGTTAACTTGTGGTCAACAAGTTAATGGTCCTAAAAGTAATGGACAATTGAAAGTACATAGTAATAATTCTAGGCCCCATTTCGCACGAAGACAAACAGCTTTAATCGTACAAGTCTAAATAATCCTTTTTTAAAGTGTGTGTACTGTGTGAATAAACTTTCATTTGGCAAGCTATTCCACTTTAAATGTAGCGAAAGGACTCCGTTCTATATCGATCTGCCTTTTTGCAGCGCTTCGTGGCTCGCCTTCATTCCACCACAAATGCGTTGTCCTTTTGGCAATACGCCCACTGACGTCAGTGTGACGTCATGGCCGTGACGTTCGCACTCAAACTGTCTGCCACCGACTTCCTATCCCTTTCCCTCTACCTTTCTCTCTCCCTCCCAGCATTTCTGTCTGGCTTGGGAGAGCGGTGAGTTTTCGGATATCTCAGTCTGGAGGCGGTTGCACAGGATAATATATTTAGACATTTATTTATAAAACAAACTTATTTGTTAAACAAACCAAATAGAATGAATACCTTCATTTGAAGAATGCGACAAAAATATCGATTTTCAATAAATTGAGTTTCTGCATTCTTTTATTTATGCTGCACACTTCTTTATATAGATATATATCCCGGATCCGCCCGCATCGCAGACTTTACCATTTCAAGGGCCATTAGCTAACGCCATCGCCAGAAGGCATCCTGCCTGTTCCGCTCTCTCTCTCTGTCTCTATCTCCATCTCTCTCTGTCCCGCTCTCTCAGCTTTACTATAATCCAATTTTCCTGACGCCCGTCAAGCTTTTGCCGGCTTTTGTGAATTTCCCACTGGGAGGAGGGACGGTGTTGGCTCCTAGGGGAGGCAGTGTTGTTGTTTTGGTTTTTGGGGAGCTTTTTCCATTGACGTCATCAGAGGCGAAAGCTGCGCAGTGAGCTGACATCCTACCACGCATTTATCGATTGCACAGGGAAGAAAGTGCGACAGAGAAGAACAGAACGAGAGCAATAGAGAGGGAGAGAGTGATGAAGATGGCGGAATGGGAAGAGACGCGTGGGCGAATTCGGTTTTTGCAAAATATGACGTAGCAGAAGGGCGGAAAGGGAGGCAAGAGTCAAATTCCAAAGTATCTCAAAAATGTATTAAATTCTAATTATTTCCATGCATGGCTTTAAAATCCCACCCGATAATCGCTGAAGTTTTTCCCAGTGAAGCACAGCAGCATTTTAAGTGTGAGTTCAGGTGCGCCAATAAAATCCCATCATCCGCTCGCACATTTTTATAGATGCCTAAAAATAGAATTTGTCAATAATACCAACAAGCAAACACACACTATTACACAAACACCTGCAATGTGTGGGTGCACAGACACGCACTGTTGACGTCATTGTCCTTAAAGCTCCAGCGCTTTCTCTCGCACGGTTACTACGCTACTACTACATTGAAACGTGCTCGCTCCCAATGTCTTTCCAAAAATACCGTTCGCCTCTCATTGACGTCGACGTCGGCGTGGGCGTCGCTGTTGCGGCTAACAGTGCGCCAGGCCTAACATAGGTTTGAGTCCGCGCTTAGGCATTTGACACTGGCGGTCAAACGTCGAAAATACAAGACCAAGATATACTTTTAATTTCCAATGAAGATGGAAGATCGTAGTATCGATTCTGTTAAGCGCTACTAGGGTCGAAACAATTTGAGTTGTATAATAAATAAAAGTGTTGTGCTTAGCCTTTCCTGCTTTATCATGAGCTCAAACCGTGGTGGAATCTGTCCGGATTCAAGTCGAATAACTAACAGTACTTTGCCACTGTTAACAGAGGCAGAGAAGTCGACGCCAACGGTAATGTGGGCTTTGAAGGTGGGAGAGCAGCGTCTATTTAAGCCTCTCGCAAAGACCAATTCTTTGTTATTGCAGAACAGATTCTCGAACGCGTTGCTTTGGTTTCGGTTCCGCTCGCCTCGTGAATATTTTTTATGAATATAAGAAGAAAGCATGGATAACGCCGTAATTGAGTAAGAGTCGAACGCAGTACCTTAACAAGTAGAGTGATCCCTCAAGTGATCAACTTATTCGGTCGCCAATGAAATCCGTGCGTGCAGAGTGCGCTGAAGTGGAGCCTTGAGGAAATGCCACCAGCTCGCAGCTGAGCTGCATTCGCTGTTTGTCGTTGTGGTCGTGTCCTCTCGCGAGTGTGTGTGTGTGTGAGTGTGTGGGTGTGCACTGTGTTATTTGGGTCAAAAGCTGCAGCAGCACCAAGTTCCCACTCCCACTCCCACTCCCATTCCCGTTTCCGTGCCCGTTCCCAGTGGGTGTCCACCTGTTATGCAGCTGGCCTAGTGGCTCGACTCGGCTCGGATCGGATCTAGCATCCCACAAGCCCAGAAGCCCACATGGAGGCGAAAGTGCACCGCCAGCATCAGCGGCACCGCCGCACGGAGGCGCGACAGCGGCGCCTGGAACGGGAGGCGGTGGCTACGGGAGCGGCAGCTCCACCGCCCACCACGCCCGAGCGGGCAGAGGCCTTGGACTGCGCCACAGCCCTAAACGAGGGCGTGGCATCGGCGGATGCGGGCGGCAGCGGCGGCACACCAAGCAGTGCGGGGCGCATCAGTGCCCAGAGCTCGGCGGACAGCATCGAGCTGGTGGGTTCGCCCAGCCAGACGTCGCAGCAGACGGTGGTGCTGGTCAATGGCCACGCCCCGCCGGGCCAGGAGGAGGGGGAGGAGGAGTCCCCACTGGGCGCTGGCCTTAGCCGTGAGTCCCCACCGCCGCCCAAGCAGAGCGATGGCAGTCGCAACTCCTCCGGGGATGCGATGAGTCTGCGGGAGACCCTGCAGCAACTGCCGGCCACCCATCACCATCGGTCCAGGCGTACTCACTCTCCTGCCGATCCGGATGCGTCCTTCCATCGAGGAATACTTGGCTACATGGACCGGGAGCTCAAGCAGAGCTCTCCCACGCCCTCCGCCCCCGCCGGCAGCGGAAACGGAAACGGCACCAGCACGGGCGCCTCGCGGAAGCAACAGTCGCTGTCCGACCCTCAGGCCAGTCCCGCCCAGCGCTCCCTGCGCTCCAGGAGCAGCTTCGACAAGAGCCCGCGGCGCAAGAGGAGCAAGTCCGAGTCCCGGCGGAGACGCGAACGGAAGCTCATAGCTGCCGGCGAAATGGAGGTCCGCCAGGCCAACGAAACCCTCATGCGGTACCTCAAGCAGTGCTCCGACATGCACGACGCCTCGCTCTCCGGCGAGCTCGAGATCGACCAGAGCCTCGAGGAGAGACGCGTCCACCGGAAGACCAAGTCGCAGAGGGACAAGAGGGGCCAGCTGATCTGTGAGTACACATCTCTTGCTAAAAATAAGCATTAAATATATTATAAAATTGGGATGAATGAAAAATACTAAGTGCAAGTAATTGGATTAGCCTAACTTGGCTCATATTGAAGTGGTGTATTTAAAGGAGGACAAAGTTCTGAAATACCTGAAGTGCATTAGTTTAAATTGTATTATGCTTCGATTTATTGAAAGCAGTTTGGCATTTTGTGATTATTACCCTAATCCGACGATAAGTTCGGCGCACCGATTCCACTGATATTTCTTGGGCAGTGCCCGCGTCACCCACTTCCGGATCCCAGTGCCCATTCAGTAAAACCATCTGGAGCAAAAGCTCCACCCAGCCATCCACTTGCTCATCCACCCACCACTTCTCTCGATTCTGCGCACTGCTCGGTTGAGCCATTGCCATTACCAAGCGGCATTGGACGAGCTGGCTTGATTACTCCCAACTAAGCCAAGGAAAACCTATTAACTCGATCAAGAAACGTGTTTTTGTGTATAATTAGTTGGAGAAGGAAATGCTGGGAGGTTTAATGGAATCCCTCTTTCTCCCACAGCCAAACTGTACTCGGCAGGCGGGATATCCTCGATTCTGAAGGAGCTGGCCGACGACATTGCTCCGGCCGAGGGCGAGGAGATCTACAACCCATTCACGCCGGTCGTCTCGCCCACGGACGATGCGCCCGCGCACATCGACAAGATGTTCCTGCAGACGTCATCCGGATATCGACCGGTGGAGCACAGCTACTACAAGCGCTCCTTCCTGGGGGCTGCTGTTCGCGGATCCGCCGGCATCTCGGCATCCGGTGGCGGAGCTGGCTGTGGTGGTGGTTCAGGAGGTCGCCTCGATGGCATTTCCGCCGCGGAGCTGGGAGGCGCCGGTCGCCTCTTCCGCTCCAGCGCCAGCCACGCCCACGGCGGCGCCGCAATGGGCAGGAGCGGCGGAATCTTAGGAAGTGGGCGTGGCAGCTACGGCGATACCCGCTGTCTGCTGGACGCTGACTATAATAGGTGAGTGAAAACATAGGGTTATGATGGACCTATAGGGTTCCTCCTTTCTGTCGCTCGAATATTTTTGCAGTGAATTTGTTTTAAATTAATTGAGCATGGCTATAATTTAGTAGAGATGCCCATTTCAGTGATGTCGCGCTAACTTATTTAATTTATTTTACTTGGTCCGCTAGCAACGGGATTACCAGCAACATACAACTAGCCTGCGTAGTCCAACGAATCTGGCTGCTCATCTCGAACATATGCCACGGCTTGCTAGCCGGTCTAGCTCTGGCCCACCTACTCTTCGTGCTGAGCAGCCACCCCATGGACTGGGCCAAGGTCATCAACGGCATGAGTCTTGCGGGCGAGACGGTGTCACCAACGGCCCAGCCCACAGCCGCATCGACACCATCGGCGATGGAGCTCGACTCCGACGACCGGGGAACGGAGTCGGGTGCATCCCCGTCCCCATCCTCAGCCGCCGCGGCATCCGGACTAGCCCTGATAAGTGATTACGCCGGATTTGCGGAGATCTACTTGAACACCTTCTACTGCTTGGCCATAATCTGCCTAGTCTCCGTTTTTGATCGGTGAGTTTGGGACTAGAGGATTTCCTAGGACTCGACTATAAGTATAAGTTAAGGACTTGGTGCTGGGGCGCACTACTCACTTAGTCCATTCTAATTGCGTCCTTTGAGCTTTCGATGTCCTTTGGCTTGATTAAAAGCCCATTTGGCCGCCACGCAACCTTCGCCAACAAGCGGCTAAAAATAGGAGACCCAGGAGGGAGTTCCTTTCCCAGCGATGGAGTTCCGCCACTGGAACTCATTGACCTCAGTTGGCGAGGACTCGCTGCGAGTTTCATTGAGCTGGAAGCCAGCTGAAAGTGGGTAGTTGGGCCTCCTTTTCATTGTCTAGACGAGGATACGTTCCTCGCAGTGCGTGGAACTGATGGTGGAACGGTGTGACCTCAATTTGGGCACTTGTGCGGCTTCGTGCTCTTATAGAACTACAAATTTGCGGGGCTCGCATTGCGTGGCCGCTTTCATCAGCCACAAAATATTTTAATGCCCTTAAACTTTGCTCTTTTTGCATGCCACACTCGCTGCCCACACACAACGAGCCACCCTGGCTGCACTCTTGACCTTTAAAGGCTGCGCCAGTCGATGGCACAAGTGTGTGGGTGGTTTGAATGGCTTGGGTGGTCGGCGGGTCGGATGGCTGAGTTCTGGGTGGTGCAAAGGAACTGTCTGACGTGGTTTGCTTACTCGAATTGTGCCACTTTCGGCTGGCTGGCAGTGTGAAACTGTGTATGACATTTCGCTTCGTTATCCCAGCGCCATTTGATTTATGTGCGGTTGTCGCGGGGCTAAATGTTAAGCATCTCCCGGCAGTGGAGTCTGTGTCCTGACCTTTGGCCCTTTGACAAACGGAGTGCTGCGGATAAATGTCAGTCTGTTGGCAGTGCAAGCCGTAAGCATCTGAACTTTCAGGCAATAGCTGCCACTCTGTTCGTGAATAAGTTAGTTCAACTTGGCGCTTTCCTATAAAATATCAATAATGCAACCTCCAGCTGACATGGTAATTCAGCTAATCAGCTAATCAAATACTCTTGGAATATATTTTTAAAAAGTACTTGCGTCTTATTATTTATTGTTTATAACTGAATTATTGCACTTTCAACTTGTAGGATGGACATCTGTCGCTGGAGCTTCTCGAACGCCAGCGAACTGATCTCGTTTCGGTGGCTCATCATCACCATGATCTACGTGGCGACAATAATCCTCACTATTTGCTCCGATTCCATCGACGAGAAGCTGTACCTGTTCAACAATAACGCCAACATCACGCTGACCCAGCAGGAGATGGTAAGGGCACAAATCCGGGTGAAATCCGGCGGTTCTACATCCAATCTCCTCCCTTTCGAGCAGCTGAGCAACAGTGTGCAGAGCGTGTGGAGCAGCCTGTCGGTGACGAGGAGCATTGCCGCCATATCTGGGTGGATTATGATCGGACTGACGCCGCAGGAGGACATGCTGTACGAGCACCTGGTGGACCTCACCAAATATCAGTTGACAAATAATTGAATTTAAGGCGATCTGACAAGTTGTAAATATCGAACTCATAGCAGCTGTTGTTCAGTTACCG